CCCCCGACAGGTTGTCGAACATGGAGCTGAGCGCGCCCAGGCTGCCGCCCTCGCTCTTCCGCTCGCTGGTCGTGCTGCGCGGCGTGCCCGACCGCTCGCTGCTGCTCGGACTGGGCGGCGGGGTCGCCTCCTTGGGCTCCTCCTCCTCCTTGATGTGCACGGGCGAAGCCTCGTCCGCCTCCTTCTTGATGGCGAGCGGCTGCTCCGCCACGGGGCTCTTCTCCCGCTTGATGTCGGGCGTGGAGCGCGGCGTGACGCTGAGCGGCGGCTCCATCTTGCGCTCGGGCGTCAGCGAGTCCACGCGGCTGCTCCCCCGCTCGGACATCGAGCTCGACTCGCTGCCGCTGCGCTCGCGCCGCTGCTGGTGGTAGCTGCGCAGCAGACTCATGGTCTGCGCATCGACCAGCGGTTTCGTGTAGTCGACGCTCTCGTCGATGCCCAGCCGCTTGAGGATGCTGGAGCCGATGGGCGGCTGCGCCCCGTGCGGCCCCGCGCTTTGGCGCGCCCGCGAATCGAAGCTCTTCTCGATCAGCTTCTCGATGGCGTTCAGCACCGAGGGGCTGGAGCCGTTCGCCGGCTCCTTGCTGCCCGGGTCGGGCGGCGTGGGCGACTTGAGCGGCTTCGGGTCGTCCGAGGGCGGCAGGATGGCGTCGCCCGACATCAGCGCGCTTTTCAGAAAGTTCTTCGCGCCCACTCCCCCCACGCACTGCCTGATATGCTCGACGAAGGCGCTGGTCTCGATCTTGTTGGCGCACTTTTCGCAGGTGATGCGCCCCGCGCCCGCCGGGTCGCGCAGCTTGTCCAGCAGCGCGTCGCCGTTGTGATGCGCCCGCTCCAGTTCCAGCAGTTTGCGCACCGGCAGCGACTTTTTGCGCTTCTCGCGCGTCTGCCGCCGCCGCCCCCCGCTCTCCGTGATCGAGCGCATGATGTGCTCCTTGTAGTGCGAGTTCTTCACCATGTGGTTGCTCAGCTCCTTCAGCGAGGTGAACGCCTGGTCGCATACCTTGCAGGTGAGCACGGCGCTGACGTGGCTGCTGGCGCCGCCC